GTAGCTGCACGGTTAACTCAGTTTACAGCTCTTAAAGCGCTTTTGGGGGGAGAATAGACTTGGACTTGCTGGTTTCTGGTCCTTTCTGGAGTTAATTTCAGCAGCGGTCCCGGGTGTGCCGCGCGGATGTGGGTGTGCACTTGTGTGCGTCTGATTGTGCGTGGAGGACCTTTGCCATGAGCCGCGTGCCGCTTACACCGCGGTAGTCAGTAATAATCAGCACCTGTTTTAGGGCTTGCCATGTGTCAGGCCCTGCTGTAACACTATTCATGCATGTCTCATCAAATCCTCACACCGAACCCACTTCACAGATGACAGAACTGAGGCCCATGGATTAACCCTCATGCTCAAGGTCACCCGGTATGGGTCTGGCAGCCTGGGGCCAGAGCCCTTCACCTCTAGGCACCTGTCTGCCAGTCTCACATCGGGCACGGGGCTGGGGCCGGTCTGGACGAATAGGGGAGGTGGGAGACAGGTTCTGCCCAAGGGAGGGGGCACGTTGGGCGGCCGATTCTCTGATTGAAAGTCCCTGCACACAGCTTCTGCCTCAACACCTCCCTGCCTCCCATCACCCCTGGCAGAAAGGAGCTCTGGGGACTGGTGGTACCGGGAGGTGAGTGGCCAGAGAGGGGTATGCCAGGGCTGCCCTGCTAACCCAGAGGGTACTCCCTGCTCCTGTGGGCGTTGTCTGAGGCCTCCCCACCCCGCCCCCATCATCCTGGCGCTCCTGTGCCTCAGGGGGAGATGGCTCTTCCAAAGCCCAGGCATCTCTCCAAAACCCACTGGCCTGTTCAGGTGCATCATCATGTTCCATGGTTGACCTTCTTTCCTGCTGGTCCACACAGGTGCATTTTGCCTTTTTTGTTTAATCGCGGTAAGATACACAAGCTGGAAATTTTGCTGTCTTACGCTGTTCAGTGGCATTCAGTGCATTGCTCTGAAATCATCACTACCATCCGTCTCCAGAACTCTTTCCATCTTGCAGAACTGAGGCTCTGTCCCCAGGGAACACTAGCCTCCGTCCCCTCCCCCAGCCCCAGCGCCCACCGTCCTGCTCTCGGTCTTTATGAATCTAGGGACCTCACGTGAGGGAGGTCCTACAGGATCTGTTCGTTTGCATCTGGCCTGTTTCATGGCGCATCCTGTTCTCCAGGTCCGTCCCTGTGGTAGCAGGTGTCAGAATTCCCTTCCTTTTTAGGGCTGGATGATATCCACTGTATGAGAGCATTTTGCTCATCCGTTCATCTGTCGATGGGTGCTGGGGTGGTTCCACCTTTGTGAGGAATGCTGCCGTGAACATGGGTGTGCGGATAGCTCTCTGGTCCCTGCTGTCTTCATCGGCTCCGGCTGTCAGAACGAAATCCCACAGACCAGGTGGCTGCAACAATTTATTTCTCACAGTTCTGGAGGCTGGAATTCCAAGGTCAGGGTGCTGGCATGGCTGGGGTCTGGTGAGCGTCCTCCCGTAGTTGGGAGGGGGGCGGAGAGAGCGTCTCTGGCACCCTCCTCTTATGAGGACACAAACCCCATGACGGGGGTCCCACCCTCATGACCTCACCTGACCCTAACCACCTCCCCAGAGACCCCACCTCCAAATACCATTCCCCTGGGGGTTAGGTTTCAACATAGGAATTTGGAGGGGAGGGGAGGACACAGATATTTCGTGTGCAACACTCCCCACCCCCGGGACCCCGAATTCATGTCCTTCTTGCATGTAAAATATGTTGATTTCACCTAACAGCCCAAAGAGTCTTAACCTCCTTCCAGCACCGTCTCTGAAGTCCAAAGTCCCGTTTAAAATATCATCCAACTCAGGTATGGGTGAGACTCAAGGTATGGTTCATCCTCCGGCAAAGTACATCTCCAGCTGCAAACCTGCGACCCAGCTGTGTGCTCCCGGTGTGTAGCAGCGAGACCAGCACGTGGGAGACGTTCCCGTTCCAGAGGAGAAAATGAGCAAGAAGAAAGGGTGTCGGGTCCCCAGCAGCCAGCACCGTGAGGCCCGCTGCTCTGGCCCACGGACCCGCAGGGACAGCGGCCTCCCCCTGGCGCTGCAGGGTGGTCCCACCCCCACGGCTTCTGGTGAGACCCAGGCAGGGGCCTGATAGTGTCTGAATCTCCCTTTGGGGTGGTTTCTCCCCCTTGAAGGATGGTACACGTTTGCAGCCCAGGAGCCCATCCCGTCCAACTACCAGGCCCCCCAGCCTTCCTTCTTTACAGCCCGGCTCCCGCGCCCTCTGTTCCCACCGCGGTCTCTGCTCCTATCATCCTGCATCCTCTGTCCGGCCTCACCGCTCCCATGGTCTTCTCTTGCTTCATTTTTTGCAACGTGGATGGGCTGAGGCTGTCCCCCAGTCTTTGGGTTCTGGTTCCGTTGCGTTTAACCAATTCCTCCTTCACTTTACCCAGTTGACCTCTCCTCGGTTCTCGCTCCAAGCAGCTGGAGGTCACGGCCTGCTCCACCACGCTGCGTAGAAATCTCCTCAGCTAAATTTCCGATTCATCGCTCCCACATTCTGCCTTCTGCAAATCCGTAGGACGCAGACACAAGTTGGCCAAGCCATTTGTGACTTCCCTCGAGATTCCATGTGCGAGCCCCTCAGAATGGCCTTGACTGTCCGTGCCCCTCAGACTGCTCCCAGCTTCTGCCCAGCACTCCCCAAGCGGCTCCCACGTCAGTGGCACCTCAGCCCAGCACCCAGATCTGCACTCGCGGGATCCCCAGGGAAACGGAGCCAGTAGGATGCACGTGTGCACACACAGAAAACATGCACACGCACACCTGCATCAAGGGTTATTACCAGGGTGGCTGAGGAGTCTGGGCGTGAAGCTGTAACAAGCCAGAGGCCCCAGGCAGCAAGGGTGTAAGTCTCGGCTGGAGAGCCAGCAGGCTCAACCTCAGGAACAGGTAGCACTTTAGTCTGCATCTGAAGGTCAGAAGGCTCCTACGTGCTGGCCCAGCCGGCTGGCAGGCATCGTCCCTCCCAGTCAGCTTGTTTGTGACCCTTCGACTGATTGGATGAGGCCCACGCAAGCTGCTTGACCGAGAGTCCCCTGATTGATCCAGAAACACCGTCACAGACTGGCCCCCCCGACCCCGTGGCTCAGTCAAGGCGACACCTAAAACTTAAGCATCATACCTGCGTTTGGGCCCTTTGGGTCTAGAGCCGGAAGTGGGGCTGCTGGACCAAACGGGAACTCTGTCCTACCCCCTGAGGCGCTACAAACCATTTCCCACTGCGGCTGCGCCAGTGGACACTGCGCATGGCCCGCCGCATTCCCCACCCCTCTGTCCCTGCCCTGCGTCCAGGGTCCACGCTCGGAAGCCTGGGTCCCGGGTGGGCGGTTGCCAGAGGAGCATCATTACCTGATGGTTCCAGCCCTGCTTCTGTCTCTGCAGACAGGGGCTGCCCCTGGAATGGTCTTTGCCTTCCGCCTTCTGCCCGCGCCGCACCCCCCCCCCCCCGGCTGGTGTAGACAGGGGCAGCCACGGCGGCATCCTTGGAGGGTAGGGAGCTGTAGGAGGCGGTGCCCAGGAGCCGAAACCAGCGTCACCCCCGAGGGCAGGGCTCTGGGGCCCGTGGTGTCTGCGGCATCGGGCACGATGCTCCCGGGCAGTAGGCCTGATGGCTGGAGACGCATCTATTCAAGCAGCTTCTTGGGAGGAGCTGGCTCCCGAGACTGGGGGGGCTGGCAAGTCTGAAATCTGGAGAGCCGGCCGGAGACTCAGGAGTGGACGCTGCAGGATTGAGGCAGGATTTCTTCTCCCGGAAATCAGGTTTTGCTAATAAGGCCTCCCCCGCCCGCATTGTCACGAAAGCCATCGGACCATAGATGTGTGTGTCTGTAGGCTGGCACCCGAGCTCCTGGCTCCCCCGGGGGTGTAGACCATGGCCTCTGGGCCCCAGGCCTCCTGTCTGGGGTGCCGGGAGCCTTGCCGACGTGGGTCCTGGCTCAGGTCTCGCCGGGGGCCTCCTGCCTGGCTTTTCTGCTTGAGCCCGCAGATCTGTAGGGCCAGAGTTGGGACCGTTTCCCATAGGTGTTGGTTCTGGTGTTCTGCACACACGCAGGCTGGAATTTTTCCTGCCAGACTGAAATCTGATGAAGAGCTTCGGGTACTTTTTGGTGGGGTCCCGTCCCCCTGCTTCTGGGGAGTGGCTCGCATCTAATCAGAAGAACGGGGCTCCCGGGCGTGCCTGGCGGGAACACGGGACACGGGGCTGGGGGCTGTGCCGTGGTCCCCGCGGGGGCTTCTGGGCAGAGGCATGCTCTTTTGTGGGTTCTTGTGGAACGAGAGCCTCCGCTGGTGACACGGCTTGGGGCTTTGAGGGGGGCGAGCGCGGTGTTTGAGGGTCTGGGGCCCGATGGATGCTGTGGCTGCCTTTTTATCAGTTGTGACTGATCCCGCCCTTTTGTGGCAACGGGGATGGGCCTGGAGGGCATCAAGCTAAGTGGAGTAAGTCACACAGGGAGACAAACCATCTAATCACAGAGGTGTGGAATCTAAAAGCCCCGCCCACAGGAAAAGAGGTCAGGCTTGTGGTTCCCAGGGTTGGGGGGGCCAGAGGGCGGGGGTGGGCGGTCAGGTGGTCAGGAGGCACCATCATCCAGTTGGAAGGTGAACCGTTCACGGAGGTGTGGTGTTCAGCCCGGTGCCTGGAGCGGACGATGCCATACGGTGCGCTGGAAAGTTGCCTAGCGAGTAGATCCCAAAAGCTCTCATCACGGGGAAAGAAGGTTTTTGTCACTGTGCGCGGTGACAGATGTTGACTGACCTCATGGTGAGCTTCCCGCCATCTACATACGTCGAGTCCTTACGTCGTGCCCCTTAAACTCACGCAGTGCTGTGTGTCAGTTATATCTGAATGAAACTGGAGAGAAAGGGACATCTCTTGCTTTAAAGCCGGGGGACTGTGATGGTGCGCTTGTGGGGTGAGGCCGTTGGTGGTGGGGACGCGTGCCAATGCCCAGACTCGTTAACGCGATGTCTGCTCTCTCAGGTGGCAATCATCGCGGGCAACTTCGAGCTGGCAGAGTACATCAAGAACCACAAGGAGACGGATGTCGGTGAGTAGGCTCGGGGAGGAAGGGCTCCGCCTGGTAAGGAGACACTCCCCGCCTTCTCTGATCGAGGCTGGCTCGGAGTCCGCGTTTAGCAAAACCTAACCCAACGCGTGGTCCTGGCCACTTTTCCATCTTCGTTCTCACGTACCCGTCCCTCCCGGCACATGGTACACGTAGGTCACTGCTGTGCCCCTGGTGAGTCAAACGAATTTGTGGCTAGCTTATGTGGGTTTGTTGGAAGATTCTGCCCTGTGCACACTCCCATGTAAGCTAAGAGATAGTAGCTAAACGAGGTGCAGCAGAGACTCAGTGGCCCCCTCCGACCCCCGTCTCTGAGCCCATTCCTCTGCCCCGTGGTGCTCATGACCGTTCCCCTTTCTAGTACCCCTTGTGCCAACCAGGAGGACTGTGTCTGGGGCTCCTCCCCTGCCCTGTCGCCCTGCCGGTGGCTGGGCCCAGTCCTGCATCTTGGAAGAGCCCGCTGGCCTGTTTCCGCCGGCCCCGGGCTTGCAGAGGACCTGCAGCGGCGAGCAGTCCCAGTGGACCAGCAGTGGTGAGCTTTCGGACACGGCGCCAGTCCGTGGATGGGGTGGCGCCCGGATGGCTACTGTGTCTCCTACTGCCTGTGGCCCTCACCCCGTGTTTGCTGCTGGGGGCGAGGGCAACCACGTGTCAGGCTGTCGAGTCTTTATCGTGTTCAGTGTGTGGCCGGTTCCCGCCCTGAGTCTGAGACTCGCACAAGGGTGCGGAGCCAGATGCTTTGCTTGCGTCATCCAGCGCCCTGAGCGGAGCATCCGGGCCTCCCGAAGGCCCGCCCGATGCCGGCACGAGTCCCTCCCGAGAGCCAGGGCAAACCGCTGCGTTGCTCTGAGACCCGGGCCTCCACCTGGGCCGCACCAGCAGCTCCGTGAGTGCACCGTAAAGATCGCTGACGTCACGTCTGCCACGCCATGTAGGGAACGGGCTGAGCCTGCGTGGTGCCCGCAGCCCCCTTCCTGCCACATCCCCAACACGAGAGAGCGGTGGGGGGGATGGGCTTGGCTTGAGGTCTGAGAGTATTGGCTGCTGGGCACGCGGCCCGGGAGGGGCAGGGAGCATGGGCAGGGGTTTCTGGTGGCCCTGCCGGCCTCCTGAGCTGAGTGGTCTATGGTGGTAGCAAGCCTGGGGCTGCCCTCCTTACTGTTCCGAGCACGGGCCTTGATGGGGCCGCACGGCAGAAAGGATGATGGGAGGTGGGCCGAGAGACCCCTGGGACCCTGCCTGTCCCACCGCCAGTATGAGGACCAGTCACTTCACTGTCCTCACGAGCTGCCAAGTCCCTTGAGATGCCAAGCTGCTTTTAAAACAGAGTAGGGAGATTCCTGATTGTCTCCTCCAGCTGGAGATGGAATGAGCTTTCCTGTATGGGATGCAGACAGCTCTGGACCAACTGAGGGTTTTGTTTTTTGTTTTTTTTTTTTGATTATGAACAGAGTACCTGTTGGTCTGGTGAATATGTTTTAATCACTACTCAGCCATCCGGACCCGTGACTTATTTAAACTCCTAAGGGCAGCCCCTCCTGAGTCGTGGGGATGCCGGCCGCAGGCTCGTGCAGCTTCCGTGTTTCATGGTGCTGGGACTGAGGTCTGTGCCTTCACAAGACCACCAGGGGCCTCCCGAAGACACAGGGTCAGCTTTTACAGTCAACCGAGGCAGGAGTCAGCGCCTCTCAGTACCTGTCTTGCGGGCTTTTCCGCTGTGTGTCCCGCGGGGGCGGATGGTAAGGAAATCTGTGCTTCCTGCAGGGTCCCTTCAGCACTTCCAGGGAGGGGAAAAAGAGGCCTCTCCTTTCCTCTGAGTCTCCTGATGAAGGATCTGACTGATCGAGCAAACTAGCACCAGAGCACACGAAGCCTGTGGGTCCTTTGTGCGCATAGATATCCCTCAGTGCACTGTTTCCCAGAAGCTGTCCATTGCTTGTAAAACCCCCATTCAGCCCTGTGTTCGCTGACCCTCTGGGGCCACCCTCGTTCCTGGAGGGGAGCAGATGCCGTGTGTTGTGGGGAATCTGGGAAGGACAGTACCCCGTGGTGTGCAGAAGGGCGGATCCCGTGCAGGAGGGCGGATCCCGTGCAGGAGGGTGGATGGATGCTGTGTGTGGTGGGGTCTAGGAGGGGCAGCATCCCGCGCTGTGTAGAAGGGCCATGCCTGGGAAGGCTTGCAGCTCAGGGTGTGCAAGCTGCTTCTCCCCCATTCAGGAGGCATCCCATTTTAGATGGAGTTCCTGCAGGCCCCCGTCCTCACCCACGGTCCAGAACAAGCATCCACCTGGGCAACTGATGGTTTCCTCCCCACGTCCTGACTCCTCCTTGACGTCCACGTTCCACTCTGACAACTCACTCTGCCCACCAGCAGCCCTCCTGAGCCCCAGGATCATGGGGAGAGCTTGCAGACCCAGGATGCTGCCTGGTAGCGGCTCTCAGGGGCAAGGGACCCAGAGCGGGAGGGACAGGGACACGCGGGGTGAGGGTCCCCTCCACGAGGTCGCCCCTGGGGGAGGCCTGGCTCTGAGACCTGAGAGGTGTCCCAGTGCCTTCCCATCTGGGGAAGTCCTGCGTCCTGAGGAGAGCTGTCTGCTTCTTGCTGTGGGAGGGGACGTCCCTTTCCCTCTGTGGTTTCACACACTGTGCCGTGCTGGAACCTCCTGAGAACAGCCCTGGGGTACCTGAACCAGCCAGTACCCGAGATGGCAGCCCTGTCATCCCTCGGTCACTTCTTTCCATGGTGACTCTTCATCGAGCACCTTCTCCCCTACAGGCCCTATGCCAATTTGGGGATTGAGAGACCTTGGTCCATCCGAGGCCTGGCCCACTAGGAGGTGTGGACCACCGAGGCTAATGCCCTCCTTGCTGCCCTGCCCCGGATTCTGGAGCAAAAGTGCCGTGCAGACCCCATGGCCCCTTCCAGAGTGGGACAGGCTACCAGGCATGTGACTTCAGAAGAGTAGACTCCTTCCTGCACTTTCCCTCTTGGATTGTTGGATCCGCTCGTTTCCCCATGTCCTGGTCGCGTGCCACCCTGGCCGCTTCTTCGTCCCCCACGTGTCCCCCAGTGCGTCTTCTGGGCTCCTGGCAGTCGATCCCCAAGACAGAGCTTGGGACCACCCCATTCCTGTTCCTGGCTTGGGTCATCAGCCAAAACCTCCGGGTTCCCCGGCGCCCAGCAGCATGTGCCCAGCTTTGTAGAGCACAGATGGCCAGAGCCGCCCCGCAGGGAGCCTGACTCCTTGGCCTGGGGTGGCCTCTGCAGGCCCCATCTCATGTGCCTCCAGCGTGCTGAGGCTGGGCATCCAAGCGCCGCCCCACCTCTGCTTCCCAAGGCCCTTCATCCCCAGCGGGCCAGTTCAGAATGTGAGGACAGGCCATGTGCTAGTGTCCTGGGGCCGCTGTCAGGAGATGCTCCAAGCTGGGCGGCACAGAACAAGCGAGATGTATTCCGCCACTGCTCTGGAGGCCAGACATGCAGAGTCAAGCTGTTGGCAGGGTTGGTCCATCCTCGCCTCTCGCCGGTTCTGGTGGTAGCCGGGGTTGTCGGTGTGTCTCCTGTCCCTGGCGTGGCTGCATGTGCCCTGCTCTCCGAGTCTGTCTCAAACCCCCTCTCCTTTCTCAGAGACAGCACAAGGCTACCCTACCCTCAAGGGCCTACCCTAAGTCCAGGATGTTCTCGTCTTGAGATTCTCAGATTGATTCAGGGATTAGGATGCAGGCATGTCTTTGGGGCACGTCAGCCACCATCGAGGGCAGTCACATGGCCGCATGACTGTCTCTTGGAGGCTCTCCCCTCTGCAAAGCCAGGCGGCGTCGGCCTTCCCCACAGTGCCGGCACATAGTAGGGCCTCAGTAAATGTCTGTTGAGTGAATGGCCCCCCACTGCTTGTGTCCCCATTCTAAGCTCCTCTCCTCCCTGTCTCTTCTTGGAAAAAAAAAACAAAACCCTTTCCTGGCACCTGGTCACGGGTGTTGGGGAGCAGAGCGCGTGTTATGGGCACATGAGCTCCTGGATCGGTTGTGCTTACCGGAGTGTTGTGATGTGTGCTCCCTCCCACGCATGGTCAGAGTCCAGGGGCAGAGCTCATGGGGGCACGGAGAGAGGAGACGTGGGCAGTGGGTTGCACGGGCCTCTCGGCCCTCCCGCCAGGTAGTTCTGGAGCCATGCTAGGGTCTCTGGTGTGCTGTTGGTCAGGCTCTGTGGCCACGTGGCTCTCCAGTTCCAGCTTTGGTGGCTCAGCTCCCCGACCCCCATCCTCGGGACCTGCGAGGGTGCTGTCACAGTCTGTCCAGATCAAGGCCACTCCTCTGTCTGCTCTGGACTCTGGGGTGGCAGGTGTCCCGTGCCCAAGGGCTTCAGCGTGTCCCCACGTGCCCTTTGTCTATTTTTGTCCACCTCCAGAATCATGGTGGGGTTGCTGGAGAGGATGGGACGGGGCTGTGTTTCTACTTTATGATCTGCGTTAAATCTTGACTTATAAGCTACTCCGAGGTGTCAGAGAAACATTGGAAGACGGGGATGTGTGTCCTAAACTTGAGGCTGGCAGCCCTTGCCTCTGGGTCGGGACCAGCCCACGATGCTAACCCACAGAGTTTGTCGATTAGACACTAAGTGGGGCTGGGACACTATTTTGGAGCACCAGCCTCACGGGTCAGGAACCCGGACGGAGGCGATGAGGGTAAGCCTCCCCTTTGTCTGCATTGCGTTGTGCTGCATTTCTGAATGTAAATATGGTGGAAGGATCCCCAAATTCCAAGCTGAGGGTGGGGACGTGGGGTCGACTTTGATGTTTCAGAGCGATCAAACTGCAGCACAAAACATTTTCCTGACTTCCCTAGTCGGCGATGCCTTCCTCAAAAAGCCTCTTTAAACCATCAAATAGTCACCCCCCCTTCCCCCCGACTCAGTGCGACAGATCCTTTGTTTTCCGGACAGCACCAAGAAACCAGGGCACTTAGGACGCTCCGATGTGGCT